CAGAAATACAAGAGATCATAAGAGGGTACTATGAATAATTATATGCCAAAACATTGGACAACCTAGAAGAAATTAATAAATTCCTAGCAGCATACAATCCGCCAGGACTGAATCAGGAAGAAATAGTAATCAGTCTTTTCGGATTTTCTAAGTAGACTGAATCAGTAATCAAAAATCTCCCAACAAACAAAAGTCAAGGACCAGGATGGCTTCACTGGTGAATTCTGCATACATTTAAAGAATTGAAACCAATCCTTCTCAAATTCTTCCAAAAAATAAGAGGAAGGAACACTTCCAAACTTATTTTATAATGAGGCCAGCATTACCCTGATACCAAAATCAGACAAGGACACCACAAGAAAATTACAGACCAACATCCCTGATGAACGTAGATGCAAAAATCCTCAACAAAATATTAGCAAACCAAATTCAACAATACATTAAAAGGATCATACATCATGATCAAATGGGATTTTAGTCCAGAGATGCAAGGACAGTTCAACATCCGCACGTCAGTGTGATACACCATATTAACAAACGGAAGGATAGAAATCATATCATCATCTCAGTAGACACAGAAAAAGCACTTGACAAAACCCATCATCCATTTATGATAAAAACTCTCAACAAAGTGGGTATAGAGGGAACATATCTCAACATAATAAAGGTCAGATATGACAAGTCCACAGCTAACATCATACTCAGTGGTAAAAAACTGAAAGCTTTTCCTCTAAGGTCAGAAACAAGACAAGGAAGCCCACTCACCACTTTTATTCAACATAGTATTGGAAGTCCTGGCCAGAACAGTTAAGCAAGAAGAGGAAACAAAAGGCATCCAAATCGGAAAGGAAGAAGTAAAGCTATCCCTATTTGCACATGACATGATATTATATATAGAAAAAACCCTAAATGACAAAAAACTGTTAGCACGAATAAAGTCAGTAAAGTTGCAGTATCAAAATCAAAATACAAAAATCTGTTGCATTTCTATACACTAATAACAAACTATCAGAAAAGGAAATTAAGAAAACAATCCAATTTACAACTGCATCAAAAAGAATAAAATACCTTGGAATCAATTTAACCTTGGAGGTAAAAGACCTGTACACTGAAAACTATAGGACACTGATGAAAGAAATTGAAGAAGACACAAATAACTGGAAAGATATTTCATGTTCATGAATTGGGAGAATACTGCTACAATGTTCATACTACCCAAGCTACAGATTCAGTGCAACCGCTATCAGAATTCCAATGGCATTTTTCACAGAAATAGAACAAACAATTATAAAATTTGTTTAAAACTATAAAAGATTCTGAAGAGCCAAAGCAATCTTGAGAAAGAAGAACAAAGCTGGAGATATCACACGCCCTGATTTCAAATTATATTATAAAGCTACATTAATCAAAATAGTATTGTATTGGCATAGAAACAGACACATTGATCAGTGGAACAAAATAGAGAGCCCAGAAATAATCCCATGCATATATTGTCAATTAATTTACAACAAAGGAGCCAAGAATATACAATGGAGAAAGAACAGTCTTCAATAAATGGTGCTGGGAAAACGGGACCACTATCTTACACCATACAGAAAAACTAACTCAAAATGGATCAAAGATTTAAACATAAGATCTGAAACCATAAAATTAGAAGAAAACATAGGCAGTAAATAAGCTCCTTGACATTAGTCTTGGCAATGATTTTTTTGGATTTCATACCAAAGGCAATGGCAACAAAAGCAAAAATAAACAAGTGAAACTACATCAAACTAAAAATCTTCTGCACAGCAAAGGAAATCAACAAAATGAAAAGGCAGCCTATTGATGGGGAAAGAAATATTTGCAAATCATATATCTGATAAGGGGTTAATATCCAAAACATATAAAAAACTCATACAACAACTCAATAGCAAAAAAAAATCCAATTTAAAAATGGGCAGAAGGGGCTTCCCTGGCAGCACAGTGGAATCTGCCTGCCAGTGCAGGGGACGTGGGTTCGAGCCCTGGTCCAGGAAGATCCCACATGCCACGGAGCAGCTAAGCCCATGCGCCACAACTACAGAGCCTGCGCTCTAGAGCCCGCGAGCCACAACTACTGGGCCTGTGTGCCACAACTACTGAAGTCTGCACACCCTAGAGCCCGTGTTCCACAACAAGAGAAACCACTGCAATGAGAAGCCCACTCGCCACAGCTAGAGAAAGCCTGCGTGCAGCAATGAAGACCCAATGCAGCCAAAAATAAATAATAAATTTTTTAAAAAAGGGCAGAACATCTGAATAGACAGTTTTCCAAAGAAGACAAACAGGTGGCTAATAGGTACATGAAAAGGTACTCAACATCACTCATCATCAGGGAAATTAAAATCAAAACCACACTGAGGTATGACCTCACATCTGTTAGAATGGCTATCATCAAAAAGACAGGAAATAACAAGTGTTGGCAAGGATGTGAAAAAAGGGAACGCTTGTGCACTGTTGGTGAGAATTTTTTAAGGCTACTCAAAAAATTAAGTCTTACTACCATAATTGGATCCAGCAATTCCACTCCTAGGTATTTATCCAAAGAAAACGAAAACACTGACTTGAAAAGATGCACCCCCATGTTCACTGCAGCATTACTTACAAAAGCTAAGATAGGGAGGCAACCTAAGTGTCTACCAATGGATGAATGGGTAAAGAATATGTGGTACACACACAGAGGAATATTATTAATCAGTAAAAAAAAAAAAAAAAAAGAAATCTTGCCACTTGTGACACCATGGATGGACCTTGAGGGCATTATGCTGAGTGAGATAAGTCAGACAGAGAAAGACAACATATGATCTCACTTATATACGGAGTCTTAAAATAAAAAAGGGCTCACAGAGCAGATTGGGAGGGGTGGGGGGGGTAAAATGTATATGGGTGGGTAAAATGGGTGAAGACGGTTAAAAAGTACAGACTTCCAGCTATAAAATAAGTCACGGGTATGTAATGTGCAGGATGGTGACTGGAGTTAATAATACTGTACTGTATATTTGAGAGTTGCTAAGAGTAGATCTTATAAAGTTTATTTTTCTTGTGATGAAAACTTTTAACTATGTATGGTGATGCATACATAGTTAATGAGACATATATTCAAATATCGAATCATTTTGTTGTACACCTGAAATTAATGTATATACGTGTCAATTATATCTCAATTGTTTTTTTAAAAAAGTAAATGCTATAGAAAAAACTAGTGTTATTACTTAGAAAGCTGGAAACAGGCCTCAAAAAGGGGCCATTTCCTGTTCTAGCACCTTTCCCAGATTCTGAGAAGAGAAGACTGTTGTAGGAGGAAAAGGTCAACTCAGAAGGGCCAAGAATAAACAAGAGCATTAGTGAAAGAGCTTACACCAATCCGACCTCCACAGTGACCGACACATAAATGAGATCTCAGTTCAGAAAGATGCAGAAGAGCACCGTTGGCTTAGAAACAGGCTGCAGATATTTTCAGCTGCACTTCAAGATCTCACTATCCCTGAGCTTCCACTCAGACACAGCAGGTTAAGTCTCATGTTATGTGCCAACCCCAAGTGGCTGCCTGTGTGCAAGGCTGCAGAGAATGAGGCTGTGTCCAGGCTCAGGAAAAAAGGGACTGTGGTGCATTCACAGTGTTGGCCATGTGTTACATATTTGACATCATTGGTCCAGCCTGTTGAGATTAAAATAGATAGCTAGTGGGAAGTAGCCGCATAGCACAGGGAGATCAGCTCGGTGCTTTGTGACCACCTAGAGGGGTGGGATAGGGAGGGTGGGAGGGAGGGAGACGCAAGAGGGAAGAGATATGGGAACATATGCATATGTATAACTGATTCACTTTGTTGTAAAGCAGAAACTAACACACCATTGTAAAGCAATTATACTCCAATAAAGATGTTGAAAAAAAAATTTCAGTAAGTAATAGAGTACGTGAAGAAAGGGCTTCTCGCAAGGTAGAGAACTCTGGCCTGTAGGTTAGCTCCTGATAGAATGCCTGTAATTAAACTCTCTGATATACCAATTAACGCTGGGAAAAGGTCTCCAGTGGAGTTCCACAGGGCTCTGTCTTATGTCCTATCCCAGTCAAAATGTTTACCCGTGACTTGGAATAAGGCATAGAGCGTACATTCATTGGCATATGGAGCTGGGAGAGGCATTGGCTCTGATTAATTGTTTAAAAACTGGAGGCTCCTGGGCCTTTGTTCCCCTGTGGTGCTGGGGAGGAACTCTGAATGTATCAGGAGCTCAGTGCCCTGACTAACGTCACCTTGAAGGGAAGTTGTGGGGACTAAGACTGGGCTGCCTTGCCAGGTCTTGCCTTTCTGAGAAGGAAGTGAAAGCCCAGCTTCCTCATACAGGATGACCACCTTGTGGTACCACAGACCCTCTGGCAAGGTGCGTTCCGGATGGGAGTTGGCAAAGAAGTGTCAGGGCGGCATCCGCTGCTCAATAATAATTGGATGGCCAGGATGCGTGTGGAAGTTGTGGAGCTGCTGGGCCCAGCAACCTAGTGCGTTGGGATGCTCTCCGCAGCCTCCCTGCCCTAATGGCCACAGTGCTGCACTTGGGGTAGAGCCGTAAGTTTGCAAAGAGGAACAAGAGGATCAGAAGGAACGAGACACTGGGGGAGACAGCAGGTGCCAAATGCAAGCCATTGCCACTCAGCGTTGCCAGGCAGCGAGTGTGCATCACCGGTTATGTCTGGGGAAACTGATTTCCTGTGTTGGTGGGGGCGTGTGCCCCCAGACAGCCCTCACTGGGGGAGGAAAGGGAAGCCCTCTCTCCAAGGCACTGGAGGAGGCTGGCAGCAGACAGGCCTCCTTCATACTCAAGTCCGTGACTTCACGGCAATCCTGTTAACTTCCTCAGTCTTCCACTGCCTATCATCCCTGCACTGCTTGAAAGGGAGGGAACCTTATGTACCAAATCGTCCACAAAGTAAGCAAAGTAATTTCAAGGCAACAGCATTTCTTCCCCTTTTTTTTTTTCCATACCTGCTAGCGCACTGACCAAGAAGTAGGCCGTAGAAAGGAGTTTCCGGTTGTGGACCACATCCTCTGGGCCTGGACACTCGCCCTGCACACTGTACCCCACTAGCCGCAGGAAGGCCACGAGGTCCCGCTGCTGTGAAGGCTTCAGCTTCCCCAGCACCGCCAATGAGGGTGACAGGCTGCTGACTATGTCCTCACACTGTGGGGAGAGGGGGTGGGGCAGGGAAGAGAAGAGAGACAGATCTAGTAAAGCCACAGGCCAAGCTGGGCACAACACAGGCCTCTGCCCCATGACACACAACCCTTGTAGTGAGATGGAGAGTGGTCCCCCAAATATAGGTCCACCTGGAGCTTCAGAATGAGACCTTATCTGGCATCCTTGCAGATGTAATTTAGGTAGGGATCTCGAGATCATCCTGGATTGGGGTGGGCCCTGAATCCAATGGTGGGTGTCCTTTGAGAGACAGGAAAGGAGATGGCCATGTGAAGACAGAGTAGAGATTTGAGCAATGTGGCCACAAGCCAAGGAATGCCAGGAGCCACCAGAAGCTGGAGGAGGCAAAAAAGGATTCTCTCCTAGAGCCTGTGGGGAAGCATGGCCCTAATGACACCTTGACTTTAGACTTGTGGCCTCCAGAATTGTAAGAGAGTAAATTGGAGTTTGTGGTCATTTGTTACAGCAGCCCTAGGAAACTAATACACCCTTCTATTCATCACATCGACTACCTTTCTGCAGTTAGAAAACTAAGGACCTGGGAATAAGAAAAAAAAGAAGTTTTAGGGTTAAAAGGAGGTGGGGAAATTTTAAACACCATTTTATCCCAGCTCAAGGCCTTATCCCAAGAGATCTAGCCCATCCACATCTCCAGAAAACCATGCGAAGACACTACCTTGAGATGTCTCCGGTCTTACCACTTGCTCCAGAACCAAGAGTAATTCTTCATCAAACAGGACCGCCTGGAGGACGTCATTCAGAGCTCTCTGTTGCTGCTCTGGCAGCTCCACAAAGGGATGGAAATTCCTCTCCAAGAACAGAGTGGCTGTGAAAGCAGCAGAACATACCCAGTCTCGTGACTTATCTCAGAACGAGGACCAGTAACTCTTACTTTTTATAGCTAATTGTCCTCTGTTCTTTCATAAACACGTCCAGCTGCAGTCTTGGAACTCAGAAATAAAGGACGCGTTAAATACCACCCTGCATGTTTTTTACTAACCAGTCAAACTACTAAAGGAAGAAAGAAGGAGGGAAGGGAAGAGAGGGAGGGGAGACAGAAAGAGACAAAAAAACAGACAGAGAAGAGGGAAGCTGGGTTTTGTTTCAGACTTTAGTTTCCTGCTGACTCACTAGACATTAAGTCTAATCAATTATTTTCTGGAAAAGTCATTTAGAATTATTAAATTATCAAGGCTGAATTACTGAACATCAGGACTTTTACAAACCTTCAGAGTCATCGTGCAAATTCCAAAATACATTCTTTTTCATATCTTTCTAATACACTACAGATTTTGTATCCTTTAATATTAAATGCATGCTTTTCAAGGGGCTGGCACAATTTTCACTGGGCAAACACAGATATTCCACTTTCTCCATTCTTCTTCACCCATCTTGGAGAATGGGTTAGAATCCCAGCTGGATTACTAACGTCCTCTTCAGGATGCTTGAGCCTCTCCCCTTAAAATCTTCCGTTTTCATTTTAAGATAGTCAAAAGTTTCTAGTGAATTAAGCCCAGTGGGAATTTAAAAACAAGATTTGATAAACCAAAGCTTTCCTATACAGGGATGCAGACCAATACATAAATGCACCCTCCGCTGATGTCAAATTCCAGACAACAGTTATACTCAAAAACTGCTCTGTAAACACAATTAGTTCCTTGCCAGCCCCAGCCTGGAGAGAAGGGCCGTCCTGGCTGGTCTAGGGTCCAAGTGCACAGAGGCGGGTGCCCACCCTACTCCTGCCTAAACTACCCAGCCTCCCCACTCCATGCCAGGCTGCCTGGAATGACCAACTGACAGGGTGGACTGGTGGGTAAGGAAATTATAAGAAAGCTCAGCCTGTCGTGTCACTTCCTGTAGTGCAGATCAAGGCTGCTGATGTGATTCTAACCCGGGACATTGACATCGCTTAAGTGGCAGCTGAAAATCACACCCAATTACCGTGAGGGGGCCTGCAGCCCTGCATTAGATGGGAAAGCCTTAAGACTGGACCTTCACTGCCAGTTCTGTCAACATTGATATTTTTGCTACAGAAACAAAAGCATCTATATTCTGGTTTGGGACTCGTTGAAGCCCCACTGATGAGTCTCTCCTCTTACCCTCCAAGCCAGAGATATTCTGAGCTGGTTCTAGCTCTTTTTCCCTAAGCTCTTAATTATTCGTTTCTCTTTTTCCTTGCCCATCTCCTCTTCCACTATATACTGCACTCCTACTAATTCCTGCCCTACCCACTACAAGAAACTTTTTAAAAAAAACACAGAATGCTGTGGGGAGCGAAAGGAATTGCTGCAGGCAAGTCACAGGTACTGCCCTCCTCCTCGCTGGATGCCTTGGCCTCACATGGCTTCATGCCACGTGGATAAGGGCCTCCAAGAGAGCATCTTGCGATGCTAACGAAGCGCTGCCTGTCTTGGCAATGAAGCCTGGAATAAATGAAACAAATGCAAAACTTGGGTTCTCTCTCCTTGCTGCTGACTAGCTCTTCCTGGTAGTCAGCAAGACTCCTGTGGTTCAGATGAAAGAAAATGTTAGGCCCCTAACTCTTCCCCTCCTCAGCCTCCTACCCCTTCCTTAAAACAGGCCATCCAAGACCTGAGGTTCCCTAAGATCTGACCAGGGTGAGTCCTGATGAGTGAACTAGAACTGATTCAGGCACCATCCTGTCTGTCCTCAAATGTTTTCCATGAAGTCACTAAGGAGTCACCGCTTCTGAAGGCCACATCCCCTCCTGGGGTACGGCACTCAGTTACCCAGCAGCTCACCATGCCCCAGCCTGCTGGCAATACCTTGTTTTAAAACACTCAGTGGCCCATCCGAGGCAGGCAGCCCTTGCCCAGCATCTGGCGTGTCCCAGAACGCAAACTCTCGTAAGGGCAGGAGGTCCAGGAAGGCAGAGTCACTTCTCCTCTCGTGCTCGAAGCCCCCGTGCTTGCCTTGCAGGAGGCAGAATTCTGTAATGTGGGGGAAAAGGACAAGCTGGGCATTAGGGTCAGCCTTGTTGGCACATCCCAGACCTGGCTTTACCTAAATCAAGCAGGGCAGGGGGACGTGTCCACCCTCTTCCTCATACACCCGCTTCCTACACATTATGCTATTTGACCAAAACTCAGCCACTTCCTACAAATACAGGAGAAATGGTTGTTCTTAACATAAGGTTCTTGTGAACAGGCAGGAAGCAACCTTTCAAACATCAGAAGTACTTCCTTAGCCTGACTGGAACAAACCAACTCCAACAAACAACCCACCATATTTAACTGAGAAAATTGGAATTTGATAAATCTGATTTGACTGAACTGATACAGAATTATTGACAATATATTTAGGTGCACAAGTAGTTACGTGGCTCTTGGAGAGTCAGTTATTCTTCATTAATAAACTATTTTCTGCAATTATATGAATGAACCTTATAAACATGTTGAGAGGAAAATCCATACACAAAAGAATATATTCTATATGAATCTGTATGAAGAGACTAGTCTTTTTTTTTAAAGCCTTATCTTTTAGAGATATTTCAATATTTATAGACAAAATAATATAATGCCTACAATTTGCTTCAAAACAATTGAGTAGGGGTGGAGAGAGGTGGGAAAGTTATAGATGAAACATGCACTGCCCTAGTTATTGAAGCTGGATGGTAGGTACATGGGGTTCACTATATTACTATCTGTAGTTCTGAACATGTGTGTAATTTTCCATAATAAAAAGTTTTTAAAAATTATAAAAAGAAATGCCCCTTAAATACTTCCATATTTGAGGGCCCAACTAAAGTAACTAAGTTGTAGGTAAAAATGCAACAGTGTGGGGCTTCCCTGGTGGCGCAGTGGTTGAGAGTCCGCCTGCCGATGCAGGGGACATGGGTTCGTGCCCTGGTCCGGGAAGATCCCACATGCCGCGGAGCGGCTGGGCCCGTGAGCCATGGCCGCTGAGCCTGTGTGTCCGGAGACTGTGCTCCGCAATGGGAGAGGCCACAGCAGTGAGAGGCCCGCGTACCGCAAAAAAAAAAAAAAAAAAAAAAAAAAAAAGCAACACTGTGTCCTTGCTAAGTAAAAATTGTGTGAACTCAAGAATGAGGGTTCTCCCTCTTGCACTGTTGGAGGGAATGTAAATTGATACAGCCACTGTGGAGAACAGTATGGAGGTTCCTTAAACTACAAACAGAATTACCATATGACCCAGCAATCCCACTACTGGACATAACCTGAGAAAACCATAATTCAAAAAGAGTCATGTACCAAAATGTTCATTGCAGCTCTATTTACAATAGCCCAGAGATGGAAACAACCTAAGTGTCCATCATCGGATGAATGGATAAAGAAGATGTGGCACATATATACAATGGAATATTAGCCATAAAAAGAAACGAAATTGAGCTATTTGTAATGAGGTGGATAGACCTAGAGTCTTTCATACAGAATGAAGTAAGTCAGAAAGAGAAAGACAAATACCGTATGCTAACACATATATAT